CGAGATGCGGTGATGATGTAAGTGACGTTGTAGTTTAATGTTTTGTTGGTCTAGCCCACGAGACGCGCAGTTGCTGCGTTCTGTTCACACAGATGCATATTGAGCGCATTTTCTAGACGGACAAATATGACAGCTGCTCTCGCGTCACACAAGAGATGTATAGAAAGCCATGCAAAGTTAAAACAGTTTAAACTTTTAGAAAACACGTCACGAATTTGTGGAGGTTTATTCCTTTTCACTGCGTCTCATATGTTTTTAAAGGCAATCTGTGTGATGGGCGCTTCGGCTCTTTGTATTAAGCAATGCATAAATACGTGATGCAGTTTTGTTCATAATTGTTTATGCAATTTACGAAATTATATTTGATTTATATGAGTTAATTTAGACGTAATGCACGGTTTTTTTATAGACCGTTATTTCCTTGCGTTGACAATTTAATTCGCTGCATTATTTTGCTCATTGCGCCCTCCTGTGGCCTCGGGAAACAAACCAAAAGTTTCCTTCAGACCTATTTAATCTGCATATAAAACATTAGAAATGAGATAGTGGTTAATTGTAAAAAAAAAAAATTATATTGCTCTGTTTTAAAAAAGGTTATAAAAATGTCAATAATTATCGATACCGAACAATATGAAACATTATGTCGGTGATAAATTTTTTAGCTATATCGCCCAGCCCTATTTTACACACACGATTGTGTGTGTGTGTGTGTGTGTGTGTGTTGAGGTTTCCAGCTCCCCTTTGGCTGAATGAAACCAGCACTTTGCTTCCATTTTTGGGTGTTTTTCTTTGTGGCCAAGCGCTGTTCTCATTTGCACATCCATCTCTCGTTTCTCCTGATGTGTTTCCCTGCTGCTCTTCATTTCACTGGGAGAATGTTGTGCGTTTCTGATGATCTGTAAAATAAAGACAGAAATGCATGTTGAATGACATTAAACTTTATTTTTCTCCATTAGTTTTATTTCATCGTCTTATTAAAGGAATATTCTGGGTTATTCTCAACATTATTGTATGTAATCATCAGCATGACAGATTCTTTCATACATATGCAGTGAACATTAAACTAAAATAACTTGAATAGTCATAGTAGTAGCTTCATTCTGGACTGTCATATTCCTAAACTAGTTTAGACATGCACTAATCTAGTGTGTTTACTGCAGCTGTGAGTTAGTTCCTCTGTCATTTGTACTGTTCACGACACTTTCGCTTCTGTACTTTATAAGACAGATTCATTTTCAAACAGAACTATGAGTTCGGTTTTTATATTTACTGAAAATGTAGTTGCTGTTTGTTTTTTATGTTAGTTGAGAGAGTGTTTCTAAGTGGTTGCTAAGGTATTCTGAGAGGTTTATAGCACATTTGAGAATGTTTTTTTTTTTTTCATGATGCCTAACTGTTGCTATGCAGTTACTAAGGCGTTGCAAGGGTTTTAGTCAGTTGCTATGCAGTTACTAAGGTGTTGTGATTCGCACCATTCACACCAAGAACGATTACTATTAAGATAACTATATTAGTGTCCACACCACCAGCAGGATGGATTCTGATTGGGTGTCAATGTTTGTATCGTTCATCAGCTGGAAAAATCGTTCTGAAAGTGATTCCAACGATATTGTTTCTCTGTGCCTTTATCGTTATAGCTGCGGGGTGGTCTCTGCTATTCTTTAATATGTGAACGGGCCTTTAGACTGTTGCTATGCAGTTACTAGCGTGTTCTGAGTATTCCAGGCTGTTGTGATGCAGTTACTAGCGTCATGCCGATTGCCGATACCGATATATAATTATTTTTAATTTTGGTTAGTTTTTAACAAGAACTTATTTGTTAGAATTAAATAAACAAGTTATTTTATAATGACAGTACACTGAAGATTTGAAATTAACTATAAATAAACTATATATTAATCACTGCATTTTTTTATCAAAAATATGCAGTGGTAACCTTGACATTTTATTTTATGATTTAACATTTGTAAATGGTCTAAAGCAAAAGAGTTGTAAAAATTCTGAAAATATTTTAGAGCTCATAATTTGTTTAAAAATATAGGCCTATAACATATTACACACTAATGAATAAATCAGTGTATATATAAAAATATTTAATTTAATTGTCATTCTTGTGATTTTTTTTTTTTGTTCATGTAAGCTATAGCTTCTGACCTTTAAATCAAAACATCAAAACTCATGATTTTATAGCATCAATTACTGCTTTATTTAATCAGAAACACAGTCTAAATATTATATGTGTATTTTGCTTTCATTTTAATAGAAGTAGGCCAACAGCGCCCCGTGCAGATTAAAACTCCTTACCGAACGGGCATTAGGACCCGTGGGAGGATGCCGCTGCTGCCGCTGCACGTGCTATTACTGTTTATTACTCTATCATACACCGAACGCGTACGTGCATTCTCAGTTTAAATGCAACAATCCAAAACAGTGAGTCCAATCACCATTCAGGCAAAACTTTGCTTCAAGAATGAACCTCAATGCTGACGTGATCTAATCGCTAGCACACCCTGAGCACATGTGAGTTAATGTATTCCTCTTACCGGCAAGACATACCGGCATACTTTTTCATATCAGGCTGATGCCTATATTTACATTTAAAGGCAGTATCGGCCGATTCCGATATTGGTCCGATAATATCATGCATCCCTATTCTGAATGCATAGCAGCTGCCTAAATTTGCTAGGGTGTTCTGATTTTTTTGCTATGCAGTTGCTAGGGTGCGCTTAATGTTATTAGCTAGAGCTGCAAATTAAACTGGAATCGTGATTTGGAAAAGGCTACGATTTTTTCATGCGCAGCTTGTCAGTGAAGCACGGTTCTCCATCCGAAGGACAGAGGGCGCTCTCGTGCTGAAACTCCAAATATGCCCCGCAGAAGAAAGGTAATGCATGTCTGTGCAGAAAATCCCATATAGCGGTAGCTGAATAAACAAAAGATTGAACTTCATTCAATGCATGAAAATAGCCACAGAAGCTAGCATGGCGTTAAACACAAACAAGCATTGATTCAATGACTATGACAATATATGGTTTATCTGAGTTCAAGCCTTCTCATGTATTTTCTTTATAATAAAGTATATTTATAATGCAGTGCTAATTAGGGCTGGGTATCGAGTTCGATACTTTTTAGGCACCGACCGAATTGCCTCGATACCATCGAGTATTGAAAAACGTCTCGTCGTTCGGTACCAAATTTCGATACCTAAGGGGTACTGACGTTATGAAGTGAGTTTGGAGTAAAAACATGTTTTTAAATGTTAAAAAAACTGCCTAGTTAAAAAAACACACCCTAGTGTTCAAAGTGTGTTTAGGCTGTTGGTGTGCAGTTACTAGGGTGTTCAGAGTGTGTTTAGGCTGTTGCTATGCAGTTGCTAAGGTGTTCTGAGTGTGTTTAGGCTGTTGCTAAGCAGTTGCTAAGGTGTTCTGAGTGTGTTTCGGCTGTTGCTATGCAGTTACTAGGGTGTTCTGGGTGTGTTTAGGCTGTTGCTATGCAGTTGCTAAGCTGTTGCAAGTGTTATTTGAAATCATGGGATTTAGTTCAGCTGTTTTCTGGTCCAGAAGGTGAAAATGTTGCCTCTGATCACTTAGTAAGCACACATGATCTGTTCAATCATTGAAATGCTGCAGGAACACACACACTCAGCTTTAAAGGGTCAGTTCACCCAAAAATCTAAATTCTGTCATTAATTACTCACCCTCATGTTGTTCCAAACCCCGTAAGGCATTCGTTCATCTTCGGAACACAAATTAAGATATTTTTGATGAAATCTGAGAGCTCTCTGACCCTCCCATAGACGGCAAGGATCCTAACACGATCAAGGCTCAGAAACGTAGCAAGGAGATCGTTAAAATAATCAATGTGACATCAGTGGTTCAACCGTGATGTTATAAAGCTATGAGAATACTTTTTGTGCGCAAAGAAAACAAAAATAACGACTTTATTCAACAATTAGTCTCCTCCGCGTCACCCTATAGCGCCATTTTGGAGAGTATCAAAGCTCTCGGAATGCATCAAAAAGATCTTAATTTGTGTTCCGAAGATGAACGAAGGCCTTACGGGGTTTGGAACGACATGAGGGTGAGTAATTAATGACAAAATTTTCATTTTTTGGTGAACTAACCCTTTAACTCTAGGGCTGGCCAAAAAAATAGATTTTTCAATTAATCGTTTTTTTAAATGACGTCGATTCGATATCGATTCTCAAAAGCCGCGAATCGA